AGCCGGGGTTCCGACCTAACGAGCTCTGAAGGAAGAGCTCGGAGAAGAGAGAGAGATGGAGGGATTCTGTTGATGACGGATAGAGAGATCCTCTTCTCTCCCCCTGCCCCCTCCCCAGGCCACCAGAGAGCTTCCAGTAATTTCCAGACCATTGCTTTCCTACCTCTGGCCCCATCTTTCCAAGAGAACACCCAAGTCAGACTTTGATAAAGACGGTTGTGCTTAGAAGCTCTGAAGACCGAGAGACTCAGACCGGGGGGCTGAGGGAAGGAGAGGATTTTAAAGCGGGTTAAGTCCTAATAAACAGCCGGGGTGGGAAGGACGCGGGGATGTGCTGGGGGTGGGCTCCAGAAAGAAGAGGAGTGGGGGAGCCGGTAGAGAGAAGGTCTAGGCTGAGTGAGAGTCCCGTGGGGCTGGAGGGGACCGGCGCAGAGAAAGAGGGCCGTGAGAAGTCCTACGGGGACCATGAATTGGACTCGCTTGAAGGTCAAGATGCACAGAACGAGGGAAGGTCGTTTTCAATAATTTCTTCATTAAACTGTGCTTCCTTGAGGCAGCAGTGCTCTGGGCTGGGGCCATCGGTACTGACTAGGGCAGAGTGTCAGGTAGATGAAGGTACCGCAGGAGTCACACCAAGGCTCTGATCCCTAGGAGAGGCCAAGACTAGGCAGCAGGTCTTAGAGAACACTGCCACGAAAGACGCGCCCAAGCTGGCTTATCCATTCCTTTGTCCACCCACGCACTCGGCCAATCAGGGCCTGGAACGTCAGCTCCCGGAGGCAGGGTCTCCGCCTCATCTCCTCTGACATCTCCAGCACCCGGATCAGGGCTTATTCATCCCTCCTGCAGGTGTGCCTCGCCCGCCCACACATGGCAGCCCCTGCACCTTGTGTGCATCTCGCTGGTGCACGAGGTGGGCGTCTTCCTGTGCTGCCTTTACGCTCTGACTAATCACAAATGAACAGACACATCTCTAATTACAAGCTGTGTTTGTGTTAAACGCTGTAAAGGAAATGCATATGTAGGTGGGATAAAGAGAAGGAGCATCTTGAATTAGACTTCTGAAGTAGGAGAGACATCACCGCTCATGGTGGTGAGAGAAGGAATATTTATTTTCTAAGCAAAGACTACAGCAAGTGTGAACGATGTTATGGACCGGAAATACAGGCAGACCTCGTTCTACTGCGTTTGGCCTTATTGCACTTCACAGTGCATTTTTCACAAATTGAATGTTTGTGGCAACGCTGCATCGAGCAAATCCATCGGTGTCATTTTTCCAGCAGCATTTGTTCATTTTGTGTCTCTGTGTCACATTTTGGTAATTCTTGCAATATTTCAGACTTTTTCATTATTATTATATTTGTTATGGTGACCTGTGATCAGTGGTCTTTGGTGTCACTATTGTAGCTGTTTTTCGGCACGATCAGCCATGCCCGTATGAGACAGTGAACTTAACTGATAAATGTGTGTGTGTTCTGATTTCTCCACTGAATGGCCTTTCCCCTCATTCTCTCCCCCAGTTCCTCTCTCCCCACCTCGGGCCCCACTCCTCCCCGATACAATATTGAGATTAGGCCATTAATAACCACACGGTGACCTCTAAGTGTTCAAGGGAAAAGTTGCCCGTCTCTCACTTTAAATCAAAAGCTGGAGAAGGTTAAGCTAAGAGAGGAAGGCGTGTCCGAGGAAGACCGGCCAAAGCTAGGCCTCCTGCCCCAGTTAGCCAGGCTGTGAATGCAAATGGAAAGTTCCTGAAGGAAATTAAAGTGCTACTCCAGTGAACACACGAATGACAACAAAGTGAAACAGCCTTACTGCTGATAATGGGGGAAAGGTTGAGGGGTCTGGATGGAAAATCACACCAGCCACAAGGTTCCCTTAAACCAAAGCCTAACTCAGAGCAGGGCCCTGACTCTCCTCAGCTCTGTGAAGGCTGAGGGGGAGGAAGCTGCAGAAGAAAAGCCTGAAACTGACAGAGGCTGACTTACGAGGTTTGAGGAAAGCAGCCGTTTCCAAAACACGGAAGCGCAGCTGAAGCAGCAGGTGCCGACGCAGCAGCTGCAGCCAGTTCTCCAGAAGATCCAGCCCAGATAGCAATGAAGGTGCTGCACTGAACAACAGGTTTCCAACGTGGACGACACAGCCTTCTATTGGGAAAGGTGCCACCAGGGCTTTCACAGCTAGAGGAGGAGCCAGCGCCTGGCCTCGAAGCTCGCAGGACAGGCGGACCCCCGTCAGGGGCTCGCGCGGCCGGCGCCTTGACGCGGGAGCCACCGTTCGCTTCGCGCTCGGACAGCCAAGGTCCGTGAGAACCGGGCCCAGCCCGCTCTGCCTGTGCCCTGGAGGGGGAGCAGCTCAGCCCGACGGCAGCACACTCCCTCACAGAGTGGCTTACTGGCTAATTTAAGACCACCTCTGAGACCTACTGCTCAGCCAAGACTCCTTTCCAAACGCGACCCCTCAGTGACAGTGCACCTGGTCACGCAAGAGCTCTGCTGGAGGTGGACCACGACACGCCTGTTGTCTTCGCGCCTGCCCGCGCAACACCCCCACTGCAGCCCGTGGGCCAAGGAGCACCTTCCACCCTCAAGTCTTATTCTTTAAGAAATACATTTTGTAAGTCTGCAGCTGCCATAGATAGTCGCTCCGCTGATGGATCTGGGCAGAGTCAACTGAAAACCACCTAGGAAGTAACCACCATTGCAGATGTCGTTAAGAACATTCATGATTCATGGGAAGGGGTCAAAATACCGACATTCACAGGAGTTTGAAAGACATTGATTCCAACCCTCATGGATGACTTGGAGCGGTTCAAGACGTCAGTGGAGGAGATAATTGCAGATGTGGTGGAAACAGCAAGAGAACGGGAATTGAACGTGGAGCCTGAATATACGACAGAAAAGCTGTCCCCTCACGGTCACACTCGAACGGACGAGGAGCTGCTTCTTGTGGACGAGTGAAGAAAGTGGCTTCTTGGGATGGAAACTTCTCCTGGGAAGACCCTGGGAAGACTGTCGGAATGAAAGCAGAAGGTCTACAATGTGACAGAACTGAGCTGATACAGCGGTGGCAGGGTATGAGAGGATTGATTCCAATTTTGGAAGTTTATTGTGACTAAAATGCTGTCAAACAGCATTGCATGCTACAGAGACATTGTTTATGAAAGGAAGAGTCAATCTACGTGGCAAACTTCACTGTTTCATTTTAGGAAATTTCTGCAGTCGCCCCAGCCTTCAGCAACCACCCCCTGATCAGTCAGCAGACACTGGCATCAAGGCAAGACCTCCACCAGCAAAAACATCAGGACTCACTGAGGGCTCAGATGATGGTTAGCATTTTTTAACAACAAAGTATTTTTTAATTAAGGCGTGTACATTGTTTTTTAGACATAATGCTGTTGTGCACTTAATAGGCTAATAGTATAGTATAGACGTAACTTTTATATGCACTAGGAAACCAGAAAATTCACCTGACTCACATTGTTGTGATGTTTGCTCTATTGCGCTGTCTGGAACTGAACCCACAACATCTCAGAGGCACGCCTGTGCGTTTGTACTTTTTAATGAGAATATTGTACCAGTCACTTGACTGAAGGCTCAGTTCCTGTTGACTCTCTCTGGTTTCCCAACAGTTAAAATTTTCAAATAACGTTACTTCTTCCAATCCTTTCCAACCTGAAGGACACAGCATGGCCCCTCATTGTTCTGACTGCATTTCTTTGGCAACACAGGGGGCAAACATCTTTCCAGGTGTCTACTGAGCCTTTGTTTTCCTTTCGTGGACTGCCAGCTCATATGCCCTGCCAGTTTTTCTATTTGGGATTTGTCATGTTTTTATTGATCCGTTAAAAAATATTTTAAATCATTTCCATTTCAGAAATAAATATTGTTACATTACTTCTGCCAAGAAAGAAAGAGTCAGCAAATGTCATATGTCAGTGTTAGGGTGTGAGCAGCCTGGAAAGGCTGAGACTCACTGCTGGAGGCGACGTGCCTGCAAACTGACTTTTTGTTCCCTTGGTCCTTAAACTCCAGTGGAGGGGGGGAGGGAGGTGACCAACAAAATGAGGGCCAGGACGAGGCATGTGCTATTGCCATGGAGCAGCCCCTGCCGGCCGGTTCCCACCCCCGCGGCCTCCCCACCCCTCCCTTCACCCCAGGAGGTCTCCCTGCCAGGTTTGAAGGGATTATCTGGGATCAATATTTGAAATACTTGTATTTTTTTCTAACTGGAGTTAAGTTTATAAGCTTTTTTTTATTTAACCACCAAACACCAGCAATACAAATCTGGACGGGAGCCCGTCTGACTCGGAGCCAGCACACTTCCCCGTCGCCAGGAGCCCGCCCTTCTCCTTGCTTCTCCCCCGGAGTGACTGACATTTCCTTTCGAAAGCTGATCCACCGACTTCTCAGACTCTTCATCCCAGTCATTCAGACCCCAAATGATTCCCAGAGATCCTGGCCACCCCAGCCTGATACCTGAGCTGTAACTGGGCCATGGCCTGGGCTCCAATCTCTCCCTGGTGGGGGCGGGGGGGAGGGCAGTTAACTGCCGACTCTGCAAACGCAAAAGGAGGCTCTGGTCAGCGGGGGTGGGGGGTGGTGGGAACGGGGGCATCTGACAAGTCCGAAGGCTGGCTCCCTGCAAAGGGCTGTGGGGAGAGCTCCGTTCACACTAATCCCTAAGGACTGGAAGAAGTCCGTGCACTTACTCCACTCATCATCATCATTATTTGCTATTATTAATATGATATATTTCTGTCAATCATCAAATGTGCATTGAGCATCAGCCGTGTAGCAGGCACTGTCCTAGGCTCTGGTAAACAAGGCTAAATGGACTGTGGTGAAATTTACTGCCCAGGAGGAAAGACAGACATGGAATAAATCATTCCACATCCCAAACTCAGTCATTACAAGTGTGAAAACCCTGCTTAGTCAAGCAGGGACAGTTTCCTGGCCCAGTTTACAAGCTCCTTTCTAAGCCCTTTGAAAGCATTCAGGCGGACAGCGAGGACACTGCCCCGGGGATTTTTGACTGCAGGCCTTTCTGCCTCCCATGTTCAGGGATGGGCCGCCCTGAGAACACAGACGGTGCTGACGTGAGTCAGGAGACCTCACGGGAGGGCGCGGGCAGAAGCTGGGAGACACCGCTGCTGCTCCCCCCCACTTGGGAAAGTCGTCTGGAGGCCCAGCCTCGCAGCGCTCAGGACCACTCAGGGCACTTTGGGACTGGTCCGAGACGTGGCGGGATCATCCCTGACGGCCTTGGAAGCCAGCTCTGAGTCAGCTCTCACTGACCCGCGCACTCAGGCCTCCTCCCCTCGTCTCCCTGCTCTTTCTTGCTCAGAACTCATGTTCCAGATGGACTCAGCTGGCAAGTGTTTGAGACGTGTCTCAGCATCCTGTGATGTGTTCCTGGGCCTCTGGGCCCTGTGCGCGGTGAGTCACCGGCTCTGACTTGACCCCTGCTGCATGCGGGCCCTTTCTTCCCGGGTCCATAACCAGAGCCCCCGTGTTCCCGCAGCAAGGCCAGGCGGGGACAGCCCTGCCCTCCAAGGAGTCTTTTCTTCCCCTTTCCCCTCCACACGGATTCTTTCTCAGATTTCATTTCTCCAGGGCTGGGGATGAAAGCAGCATCCCGCGGGGTCCCCCCCAGCCCCCCCACCTAACTCCTGTTACATCTGGGCCGCGGGACTGAACACAGCTGGTTATTCTGCCAAAGCAGGAATGCTGCTGTCTCATCCCAAAGGGCAGATTCCCTTTTTAGCAACTTGGGGGAGGAGGTGAGTCGGTGAGATGGGGACATGGGATGGGAGATAGCCTTTGTCTTGTGGTTAAGAGACCGCCGGGCTTCCAATCCTGGCAGTGCCACTGCTGAGCTGAGTGGCTTTGGAAAACTTCCTGTGCTTCAGTTTCCTCATCTATAAAATATAAAAAGCCCCCAACTCATAAGCTTGTTGTGAAGACAAAACGAGTTAAAGTGTGTGCAGATCTTTTTAAGTCTCTGAAGTGTGCATCAGGAGTGGACTTCTTGCTGACATTACAGACCCTTAGGGAGCTTCCTTTCTGCAGTTGTTTGCACCTGCAGGGGCTGGTAACGATGCTCTTGTGTGTGGCCTCCCCTTCCTGCCTTTCCTGGTTAGTGCTCAGGATGGCTAATCCAGCATTGCTTCTTCCATTTGTCAGCCCAGGTCAGCCACACGTGGCTGGATGGCGTCCTTCGCTCTAGTATCTCTGGGCTCTGCTTCACCAAGCTTTGGGTGAGGGGTGGACGAGAGAAACCCATTCATGACTGAGCAAGTCTCTCCTCCCCAGGCCTGAGCACTCGCCTTCTCCATGGCTGACCCCCAGGGGGAGCCCATTTGAATCATCCATACATCAATCCATTTATTTACTCATTTATTTCACACTCATTCTTGGGCACCTACTAACTGTTAGTGTGAGAGATACTAGGTCCAAAAAGATGAAAGAAGAGTCCCTGTGCTCAAGGAGCTCAAAGTCATGCGCAGCTGCAGCCCTGGGCTATGAGGTGCTGTGAGGAAGGTGGTGCAGGGAGCCTTGGGTGCACCAGGGAGGTAGCTAACCTGACACCAGGCGTGGGGGTTGATGGCGTTCTGTGCTGGGTTCTGGGACACCAGGAGAATCTGGCCAAGTGAAATGAAGGGGAGGATGTTCCTGGCCAAGGGAGCAGCAGGTGCAAACGCCTGGAGGAGAAGGAGAGTGGCCCAGGGCTGCGTGCGGATTCACCGGTGGGGGCTCCCCTCCAGCCTCACCACCGATGCTTGAGATCTGTCCCATTTACCCCGTGCTTTCCTGTTTGTTTGTTTGTTTGGGGGGGGGTTGTTTGCTTGCTTTTTTGTTCTTGGTTTTTGAGGGGGAGATGATTAGGTTTATTTATTTATTTTTAATGAAGGCACTGGGAATTGAATCCAGGACCTCGTGCATGCTAGGCATGCACTCCACCACTGAGCTCTACCCTCCCCTACTTCTTAATATTCTACCTCAAATGGTGCTCAAAAAACAGAGTCAATTTTCGTAATTTTCCCTTGACCTGTATGAGGCTGGGAGATTCATCGTATGGTTCACAGTGTTATGACTATGTCTTCACACTTCTGTTAAACCCACCAGATTGAACACAGGTGTTTATCCCAGATACCTTGTTAAAATATCACTGAAAGGAAAGGCGAGGAGAGGAGAGAAAAATAGGTGTAAACTCACAAAGCCAGAGAGAGGAGACAACAGTAAATGAGAAATGCCAGCAAATGTTTGGAATGTGACAATCAGATAAACAAGCCAGGGAGCCTCGGGTGTGCTGGGCGGAGCTCCCTGCTAAGCAGACCCTGAGGCACAGACCTGCTGCAGGAGGACGGCGGGGCAGAGCTGGGGTGGGGGTCCGCCGGTGGGGCAGTGAGGGGCGGAGGCCAGGCAGAGGGGGTGGGCCGGGGTGCGGTCACGGCCGCCTCGACTGGCCTCGCGGGAGGCCGTTCGGAGTGGTCCTGAACTGGTGCGAGGGGCTCGGGCCTTTGTCCCCGCCGCGGGCCGGTCGCTGGACTCTCCCGGAAGGGAGATAACTTTGAGTGAGGCCGCTTCCTCCACACAGGGCTGATTCCTGGGAAGAAACTCAGCTGGAAGCTGGAAGCAAATATGTCCAGGCTCTAGGAAAGGAGAGTCTCCATCAAAATGGGAGCATCGAGGTGGTGCACCCCAACACTCACTACAAAGAGATTCAAAGGCGAGGCAGGCCCTTCAGGCCGCGAAGCCCTGGAAAGGCCCAGCACCAGCAGTGCGGGCGCCTCCGAGGGCGAGGGGGCGCGCCTCTGAAGGGCTGTGTGAGGACCCCGCCCGCCCGGCAGGGGACTGAATATTTACCGTGGGGGCTTTAACCAGGGAGGTCCCAGACCCCGAGACACGGGACAGGGCAGGGCCGCGCAGGGGAGGCACCTGAAAATGGAAGATTTGAAAGGAGTCTTTGAAAAACGGGGACTTCTGCTCTCTGAATGGTGGGAACGTGAGGAGGCAGGCTGGCAGGGGCCAGGCAGGGGTCTAGACAGGAAATTCACCTCTAGGGAGATGGGCCAGCCTGGAGAAGAGACCTGCCGTCCTGAGGTTTGGGGCTTCTTGAATGAACAAGCCAGCCAGGCACCTCACCGCCCTGACGAAGACGATCGGGGCAGACCTCACCCACAGGCACGTGGCTTCTAGTCAGGTTTCAGACGTGGTCAGAGTCCGGGACGCTACTCACGTATTGAGGGAAGAGCTCACCATGAAAGACAGTTGCACAAATAGACAGATGGCAGAAAGAACCCACGGGAGGCAGAGACGACGCAGGAAGCTAAAGAAAACTGAAAACAAAACAATAAAACCCTTTAATGTCCTCAAAGAGATTAACAGACAAAGTCGTGTTACTGAAACAAGAACTGGATGCTGTAAAAAGGAACAACGGCAGCATAAGGAAGCTTACTGCTCATCCACGTGAGCCCAGTCAGAGGTAAAAAGAGGGCAGAGAGAGGGGGGACTCTGCTCCACAGTGCCATTCAGGGCTCAGCTGCCAGACACTGTGCCGCCTTTACCACGTGTCACCCCAGGGAGGGGAACGAGGATCTCGCTGAGGGTTTTGTGAATCAGGTCTGTAGGTGGCAAGCGTGACGTCCCCCCTCTGCCATCAGCTAAGACCGACACAGCTTAGCTTTGTGCTCAGGAAGAAGGATCTGCTTGGGGGAAAGCCCTATGGTGTCTGCACAAGGAGGGGTGGAAGATAAAGTCAGGGAGTTCTCACGGCAGGCCTGGGAGTCAGCTAGTCCGGACGGAGGCCGGCCCCGGGAGGCTCCGGGAGCGAACGTCTCCAGGAGAACGTGGAACTGAAAGAATATCAGATGCTTAACTGAAAAAGAAAGCTGACTTCATGGGGGCGTTATAATGTTCTTGTGAGGGTAGGAAGAAATCATGATGGTGAAAAATGAGCAGATGATAAAACGGAGGAAATGTTTCCCTACAGAAAAAACAAACAGTGAAAGAAAGAAACGGAATCGCATTTTGATTCAATCACTACGTAGTAAAAAGACTGCAAAGCAGGTCTTTTGGAAGAATGAAGGAGGGCGAGGGGCGATGAGAAGCAACAGTGAACTGCTGTCTTCTGTGCAGAAAGTCCGCGGACAACACAGAAACGTCGGACAGACGTGGAGACCACGCAAAGGAGCAGGGGGAGGGGTTAGTGGGCCTTTGAGGCGGTTGTTTGTAAGCCTTGCAATATTTCTGACTTTTAAAACCGTGCATATATATACATATACATATAAAACTTCATAAATAATAATGACATAAAAAGTCCATGGATAGGCCAAGCTTCAGGCACGACTGGACTCGGAAACTCATACAAAGTTATAAGGACTTGATTTCTTGGCTTTGTTCACTCTGTACTGGCTTCATTTTTAGTTGGGCCCTGGGGCAGAGGACCTCCTGGCCCATGTTTTTCTTAATTTCTTTCTTTCTTTCTTCCTTTCTGTCTAAAAAAATATAAATTGTGGTTGCAGAACACATGAGGTTTGCCATCCTAACCACGTTTAAGAGCACAGCGCAGTGGTGGTGGGTATTTCCGCATCGTGGGGCAGCACGTCTCCAGAATGTGTGCATCTTGCAAGATGAAATCTTTATGTCCAGTAAACAACGCCTCCTTCCCCCCTCCCCCGCCTCCTGGCAACCACCCTTCTACTTTCTGCTGTTTTCTTATAGCTCTTAGTGAAAGCAGAAAGAAAGCTCACTTTCCTGATAATTCTGACAAAAGTCCCAGGACTGTTCCACTGGAGTGACCAGGAATTGGCCGGTATCCCCAAAACAAACGCCTGAGAGTCAGGGTGGAGTGGTTGCCCGAGGAGCGAGGGCAGAAGGGGCCGGGACTCCAGGCCAACAAACTGAGTCCAGCACAGGGAGCAGTGGGAGGGCCAGGCCTGCGAGAGCAGGTGCCACCCTGCTCAGACCCCGCCTGACGCAGGGCTGGCTGTTACCTCCGTGCTCGTCCCGGCCGGCGAGATTGTCCCAGCTCTGCACGGCACTTGGGACTCTTCAAAACCTCTTCGGTATAAGATTTCTTTTTAAGGGTTATTGTTTGGATAAGTAGAAAATTGTGATTATTAGGAATTTTAACCTTCTTTGGAAATGTTCATTAGTTGTTTGTATCTTTTCTTATGAATTGTCTGTTCATGCTCTTTGCTCATCCATGTTTATTAATAAATACATTTGTCAGGCTTCCCAATTCTAACACATGTGCAAAAGCATGTTTAAAAAACATTTCATAGAACCTTGTACAAGGCTTTGGAAATAGCCTAGAGGTGTGACTCTCACTGCGCAAAAAAGAAAAGTAGGGCGTGGCGAAGGGAAGTGCAGCCGGCCCTGGCGCCCTGCGGGTGAGGGATGAAGGAGCAGAACCCCGGGCCACCCTCCACCTGTCAGATTGTGCAGCCTCCTCAGTTACCCTGAAATCTAGTTCCCCCCAAAGTCGCGTTTCCTGCCCAATCACCACATTCAGAGATTGCAGACAGCCACCTTTATCTTCCCACAGCTGCAGCATTTTCAAAAGACGAGGGATAAATGAGGAGATGTCTCAGCTGACCTGAGGCCTCTTGTGATTTCGTGCTGTGATCAGACCTTCCCCCCCCGTTCAGTACCTCCAGGTCTCTGCGCCGGCTAGCACAATATTGGACCGTGTTTTGCCATTTAAATCATGCAAGTTACAATTTGAAAAAATAAATACATAAATAGAAAAGATTAGTCTTGTAGCCCTGTCAAAGAATGAGAAAGAAATGCTGTATTTTTTTTTTTTTTTTTTGTCAGGCGGAAGGAATGAGGAGGGCGAGAGCAACCACTGCGCTGTTGGCCCACGTGCCCTTCCTACTT